TTGTTTCCTCTTGGTCTTCCGGAGCTATAGCAACTTGAAAATACCCCGAATAACCATCTAGGAAGCGATAGTAAGCACGACCAGCAAGCCTCTCAAGCATTTGATCAATGAAGGGCAAGGGAAAATGATCCTTGCGGGTCACTGCATTCAATTTTCCGTAATCTATACACACTCGCCACCCGTTCGAATTCCGGTGGGGATCAAGTCTCCATTTTGATTATTTACCACTCGTGATACCAATCTTTTTGGGGACAACAAGCACTAGACTCACCCATGCACTATCCGAAATTGGGTAAATTACCCATGCTTGGAGTAGTTTCAGAATTTCTTTCTTCACTACTTCCATCATGGGAGGGTTCAATCTTCGTTGTGGTTGACGAATTGGCTTGGCTCCCTCTTCTAGCAAAATTCGATGCATGCATGTAGAGGGGTTGATTCCTTTCATATCGGCAATGGTCCAACCTATTCGTTGTCTTATGTTGTTTTAGCACTTGTACAAGTCTATCCTCTTGTTCCTTTTGAAGCTTGCTTGAGATGATGGTAGGTAGTGTCTCTCCATCTCCGAGATACACATACTTGAGATGGTCGGGAAGAGGTTTTAGCTCCGGAATCGGAGCTTGCAACACGGATGGCCGAAGTTGTTCGGTAGGTATCGAAAGCTCAATATAAGACACATTGTTAGAGCCTTTCATCTCCTCAAATTTGTTCATCTCGGTCATGGCCTCTTGTGTTTAGGACTTGAGCCGCAACTCACCACTTGCTTTGAAGAGGTGCTCACGATTGACTATCTCCAACTCATCTTTGCTATCAATTTCGAACATATCCTGTGCTAGAGAATCAATTACATCAACCGAATACAAAGGACAATCAACATCGGGATATTTCATGACATCATAGATATTAAATCTCATGATTTCATCATTAAACTCCATGGTCAAGGTACCATTGTAGACATCAATTTTTGTTCGAACGAGTTTTCAAGAAAGGCCTACCTAATAAGATTGGTGCTGCATTATCATCATTTTCCATATCAAGGACATAAAAATCAGCAAGAAAAGTCATTTTTTCATTAACTTGCACAAGCACATCCTCAATTATTCCCTTAGGATGAACAATGGACCTATCGGCTAATTGAATGACAATATTTGTTTCCTCCAAGGGTCCAAGGTTAAGAGTGATGTATATGGAGTATGGCATAACATTGATGGAAGCTCCTAAGTCTAGCATGGCCTTTTTAATGTCGGCATCACCTATTGTGCATGGAATGCAAAACATACCCGGATCTTTGCACTTCTCGGGAAGGTTTCTTTGTATGATTGCTTGAAACATTTTCACCTACCTTAATTTTCTCCCCTTTTGTAAGCCTTTGCTTCCTCTTCACTTGTACATCATTCTTTTAAGAATTTGACATAACGAGGGACTTGCTTGATTGCGTCCAACAATGGAATGTTCACCACACAATTTTGAAAGGTTTCATACAAATTGGTATTGCTTTTAAAATTACGAGTGCAAACTAAAGCATCCGGGAAAGGAGGGGGACTCTACCTTTTGGTGGTGGTGAAGACTTACCTATCGTCTCTTCCTTCTTTGGAGAGGTTTGTTCTGTCACCTCTTCTTCTTCTTCGATGTGTTGCTTGTATTGGTTCAATTGGTGCCTTCTTTGGTGGTTCCAATTCTTTTCCACTTCGCAAGACTATCGCACTTGCCTTTTCTTTTGGATTTACCACTGTTTGCGAGGGTAGCTTGCTTGAATTTTGAGCTTCAATTCGCTGATAGCATTGGCCAATTGGCCCACTTGATGCTCCAAGTTTTGAATGCTATTCTTTGCCTCTTGCTGAAATTTCACGAGTATTAGTAGCTAAGGTTTCGACAATATCTTCAAGAGACATACCCGAATCGAAGTTTGAGCATGTGGCTATTGTTTACGAGGGTACTGCTGCTTGAAAGGCTGAAAATTATTGGTGGGCTGATTCATTAGGGCATTGCCATAGCGAAAGTTGGGGTGATCCCTCCAACTCGAGTTGTATGTGTTGGAAAGAGGGTTATAATTTCGCTGTGGCGATCCCGGGAACCCTCCAGCAGCATTTGCTTGTTCAAGGTTATCATCTTGGAGAGTCGGACACATGTCCGTTGCATGTCCCACTCGCTGAACAAATTCCACAAGCCTTTGCCATTTCGTTTTTCCTGTCGCCAATTGACGCACAAGAGCGGTAAGGTCATCAAAACGGTTTTCAAGGGAAGAAGTACTTACCTCATTTACTCGTCGAGTGGCATAGTCGGATCCGGTTCCAAATTGCTTGTGTGTTTGATGCCATGTTTGCTATCAAAGTTCTAGCTTCTTCGAGTGTTTTGTCGGCTAAAGCACCACCACTTGCTGCATCAATCATGTTTCGGTCAAATGGCAAAAGTCCTTCATAAAAATATTGGATGAATAGCTGATTTGTGATTTGTTGGTGTGGGCGACTTGCACAAAGCTTTTTAAAGCGCTCCCGATATTCATATAATGGCTCTCCATTGTGTTGCCTAATGCCATAAATCTCTTTTCTTATGCTTGGTCGCTCTTGAGGTCGGAAAGAATTTTTCTAAGAACAACCTCTTCATCTCATGCCAAGTAGTTATGCTTCCAGCGAGTAAGTAATAGAGCCAATCTTGGGCATCATCCTTCAAAGAGAAAAGAAATGCCTTCAGTTTGATTTGCTCTTCGGTGACTCCATTCGGTTTCATACCCGAACATACCATATGGAACTCTTTCAAATGTTTGTGAGGATCTTCACTCGTCGACCCTCGAAAGCTAGGCAAAAGATGTATAAGCCCGGATTTCAATTCAAAAGTAGTGTTGGCGACAAAGTTGGGAAAGTTAATGCAATGAGGTTGCTGATCCAAGTCGGGGCGACAAGCTCTCCGAGTGTTCTGTTTGCGGGAACATTCTCCATGATTGCGATAGGTGCTGGTCGCTCTATTTGTTGCTCGTTTGCTGTTCGTCTGCCGAGTAATGGCGTGGGCACGCCGCTGCTCGCGTGGCCTTCCTAAGACTTCTTGCTGTGTGTTCTATTTTTGGGTCAAATAGCGGGTTTTCAGTCGTTGTTAGACCTTGTAACATACATAAACAATCGTGAACTCCCAGCAACGGTGCCAAAATTTGGTGTGAGTTTGTTTATCGTTGTCGTGTGCACCCAAATTAAACTCCTAAGCTCCTATAACATAAATATAGTAAGGGAGAGTAGGGATCGATCCCACGAGGAATTCAATCGTGTTAGTCGTCACAAGTGTAGAGAAACATGAAATAAATAAAAAAGGGGGTTTTGATTTAATTGAGATATAACCGAAACTGAACAAATTAAATTCGGAAAATGAGTTTAAAGTAAATAATCAAGTAAACAAACCTTGGTTCGGGTAACATCCATTTTTGGAACTTGAGATTTATCCTTGGTGCACGAAATATCGATTTCCATTCAAATATTTGTTGTGATATTGAAATCAATCTTTTCTTACGATTAGCCAACTAGAAACATGTATTCTAATCAACCCTCATTATTTAACAACCCTAGATACGATCTGAGATTTAATCAAATAATGGCTTTATGTATTAAAAAGATCAACAAAGCGAGATAACACAACACATGTAGTTGCATTTAATCTAGTTGAACAAACCTCCTAAAAGTCATTAGTTTCGATGCGACAAACCATACACTCCTAGTTGCTACACAAATCAAAGGGATTGAACAATTACGGATTCAATATTCGATCTAGCTATAGATTATTTAAGCTAATAAACTAACCGTACACATTAGAAATTAACCCAAATAATCATGAAAATAAGCATAGAAGAAAGTTCAATACTTGAAATAAATAAACTGATTTACATTAATGTTTAAGCACCTCAAAATCTTTGATTTCCAAAAGCTTCAGTTACCTTCACCAAGGAGAAGAGTCTAGCTGCTCATGGCGACCACCATAGCTAGAGAGAGAGAGAATAAGGCTACCTCCTATGAGAATAATACCTAAAAGTTTTCTGCCCTAGTTTGCTAGGTTTCTATTTATACAAGGTGTCTATTTTCCAAAAAGGGTACATAATATTCTCTCCTCTTTTGGTAGGTCGGCATCTTTTTCGGCAAATCACGTAAGTTTTGTTTCTTTCTGCGGTCCGTTGTCCGTTTCGTAGATTTCAGCGTGCCCGCGTCGAGTTGTAACGTGCCCGTGCCTCTATGTCCTTGTGTTTCTATGATCGCTGTATCTGCGTGCCCATGCTTCTATTCTTGATGTGCCCACGCTTCTTGTGTTTTCCGATAGCCGAATTGACTCGATCGCAAATTCTCTTTATATAACTCTTTTAACACCATTTTTCAATCGGTTCCACACCTAGCACATAGAATACAGAAGGCACTTAAGTTTTATCATTTAGACATCTCAAACTAGTAAAATATAGGGGAATTTAGCAATTCAAACATATGTTTTAAGCATTATCAGTATGAGATCCTGATTTTACTATATGGACTATTGTTAAATGCAAGAGCAACTGTTGCTTCAATGGGAATCTTAATTCAAACCACAGCTTTGATATACATTTTCCCATCTTCTTTAAGCTTTGGTGTGTCAACAAGAGTTGGCAAGGAACTAGGTGCTAATAATACACGAAGTCCAAATATTTCATTGAAAAAAAATAAAAAATTGGTGTACTTATAATGCAACTGTCCCGTTTCTTTGATGGTCTGATCTCATACGATAAATCTGCATCAAAGGAACTTTTGCCTTTCGAAACAACACACCACCAAATGTCCTGACTCTAAATTCCCGACACTCTATGAAAGTTCAGCAAGGAGGACATGACTCTAGTAAGGGAATGTAATATATATATTTTCTTATAATCATACATCCTTCATAAAGTATTCGACACATAGTATCTTAAAAACTTTATAGCTAAACACAATAGCATAGCATAAGCTTGTCTAAAGAAACTGTAATATTGAAACTCTTAACAATAATTCATTCTTGTTCATTAACTACCTAGCATGTGGAGCCATATCTGTTTCAAGAACCAAGTTCATTTCAATGGAATTGCGCATTCTGGTCGACCCACTCTGTGTATGTGTCCTTTCAGATGACACCTCCATGGCCAAACATTCCTTTAGCTCTATCAAAACATAACTCATGTCCACCCTTTGTACTGCAGTTTGGGGCACGCAGGACAATGCTACATCCAGAGCCTTCCAAGCACAAGTTGTGCTGAATTCACCTTGCAACCTTGGATCGATAATGCTCTGGATATCCCCAGTTTCAATTAGAGGACTAACCCATTGAACGATGTGAGTGTTGCACTCATGGCCCCTTATTATAGCAGGCTGACCAGTTATTAGCTCAAGTAGAAGAATACCAAAGCCGTAAACATCACTCTTCTTATTTAAGTTTCCTGATGAACGAAATCTGCATAGATGATGTAATAATTTGGGTAGGATAATAAACACCATGAGATAAGATTAAGATTAGACTCATAAATTTACCCTACAAAACATAACTTTTGAATACTCACTCAGGATCAAGGTATCCGGGTGTGCCTGCTGGCCGAGTTGTGATATGTGAGTCTCTTTCAGTTGCAAAAGCTCTGGACAGCCCAAAATCAGCAATCTTAGCTTGAAAGTTTTCGGTCAATAAGATGTTGGATGCTTTCAAATCTCTATGGACTATTGGTGGCGTGCAACCGTTATGCAGATATTCCAAACCTGCAACTTCGCTGAAGCTAATTAGCGGAACAAAGTTAATGGAATGAAATTGAAGAAAAAAGATTGAAGTATTAAAATCAGACCTTGTGCTGCGTCTACTGCAATTTGAAGCCTTTCCCTCCAATTCAACAAATTTGTGCTCTTTTCTGAATCCAGAGAACATGTTAATATGCATATATATTTAAAAAATAAACTTTGACAATTTGATGAATACAACAGGAATCATCTTTAGTGACACATAAAAGCTCATCACTGGATGGCAGAACTGCACAGGTCAAAGGAAATTTCTATCTGTAAACCGCTTTGTGCCAAAATCAGAAGAATGTCGTGATTCGAAACTGTAAAGCTTATGAGAATAGTTTTGTACCTACCTAATAAATGCTCACGCAAGTTCCCATTAGCCATGTATTCATAAACAAGTGCCATGTTTTCATGCTCATCACAATAACCAATGAGGGAGACCAAATTTCTGTGATGAACAATCATCAACAGTTGGACCTGCATATGCAAACACTACTTTGTCATAGCTGAACAGAAAATTGTTTGGTACACTTCTCATTTTCTCATTTTCCTTTCAGTAATTGAGAAGTCTGACTGATTTCTAACCTCCGCAAGAAACTCCTTACAGCCTTGCTGCGATGATTGAGATAACAACTTGACAGCTACTTTAGTGCCATCTTTCAGGCTTCCAAGATATACTTTTCCAAACCCTCCTTCTCCAATAATGGTTCTGAAATTGTTAGTAATGCTAACAATTTCAGCATATGTAAATGGCTGGTTCTTTGATTTCAGTGACGATCCCTCTCTGGATTTGGTAACTGTAGAAAATAATGACAAGTTCAACCTACCTGAAAAGGAATTTTTTATTTTTTGTAAGACAATGAATATTTCTGTATCTCGACATGACTAAACTGTTAAAATCTATCACACAAATGTCATATTTATGTCTTTAAATTTAAGTGAAAACTATGTTAATGCTTACTACCATGCTGAATTGTATACTCATCTGCCTAGATACCGGAACAAAAGGAGGTATCCTAATTTGCATTATCATATCATAGTGGTAATATATTTTTTGTTGCTGTACTATGCATATGCTGGGGACTAGGGTCTGGAATTTTACATATGTGCGTATTGCCTTCATTTAGAAGCCAAATTTATTATTTCTCGGGCACCTAAACCAGAACTTCGACAAATTCAGTGTTTTATTGAAATATGGGTGGATGAATTCAGAAATAGTAACAAAGTTGTGGCTTGTTATCCAAGTATAGCTAATAAATGGAACTCTACATCTTTCGGAAGTCTTAGAGGCACAGGTATGGCATTGGTTATGTTAACCCAAGGCAAGGAACGTATAAAGCAACTTATAACCATAGATGATTTTTATAGCACTACAAAAAAAGAAGCCATATTTGCGATGGTCATTTAGCATCGGTCACAAAACCATTGCTAATTTTAAAAATGTGGAACGGTTTTAAGCAATTTAGTGACCGTCCAAAAAATGGTTACTAAAATTCTAATTTGTGACCATTCTTTTGCAACGGTCTAACCAAACCGTTGCTAACTTCATGGGTTTAATTTTTTTCCTACATGCGGATCGTTTTTGCGATGATTTTTGTGAAAAGACCATTGCAACTTTAGCGATGGTCCATGAACCATTGCTAAACCGTTGCTAAGACGACAACATCTAAAAAAAAAAGGATGATTAGCAACGGTTTTTTTAATAAAAAACCATTGTAAAAAACAATTCGGTTTAGCGACGGTCTAGTGACCGTCGCTAAACTGTTGCTAAAAAAAAAAAATTAGATTAGCAACAGCTTTTTGATAAAAAACCGTTGCAAAAAAATTTCGTTTAGCAATGGTCTACAAATCATTGCTAAATCGTTTCTAAAATAAGATGAATTGAAAAAATGAAAATTTACCTTTAGCAATGATTTTTTAATAAAGACCGTTTCTAAATTGATAAGAATTGAGAAAGGAAATTTTCAATTAGCGACGGTTTTATAATAAAAAACCGTTGCTAAATAACTAGGCTTAGCGACGGTCCGGGATCGTCGCTAAGCCCTTGCTAAAAAAATAATAAAAAATGATGAAATATTAAAACTAATTTTTTCAATGGTTTTTTTTCAAAAATAACCATTGAAAAAAAAAATTGTAACAACGGCTCGAAGATTGTCGGTAATCCCTCGCTAAAATAAAACCATTGGTGGGAAACGGCTAATTTTCAAATTTTGTATTTTAAAAATACTTTCAGCGACGGGTTTAGCGATGGTCTCGGACTCGTTGCTAAACCTTTGCCTTTAAAAACCCGCCCTTCTCCCCCAAGAATTGGCGGTTTAAGTTATCTCTCCAACTCCTCTCTTCTCCTCCTCCAACGAACACCTCGGATCCGCCTCCTCTTTCATTTTTTCTTTCAAATCTTTTCCTCTCTTTCCTCCTACCATTTCTCCCCTCCAAAAATCCCCCTTTCTTCACTCTTTTCCTCCTCCTTTCTTTCTTTCTCTCCATCTGTCCACCTAGGTTGTTTTTCGACCAAAAATCGCCGACGAAGGCTTCCATCGGCGTAACCACCTCTCCTCCTTCTCTTGGTGAAAGGTCCACCCCCATCTAAACCCTCATTTTATTTTTGATTTTTTTCAGTTATTTAGTTAATTAATATAATTAAATTAAATATTCTTAATTTGTTAGTTTAATTACTTATAATTGTTTATTGCATGTGTTGTTTTTTATTAATTGATGATTTAATTAATATTATTGTAATGTGTTAATTAAGATAGTTTATTTGTTTAAAACAATGTATTGGTATTAATTTGTGTTACTTGTGATAGTTAATTTAAATATTTAATAGTTAATTTAATATTAATTGTTAAATTTTTTGTTAATGTTATTGTTAATTATTGATTTATTGAATATTATTGTTAATTGTTAATTTTATTAATATTGTTGGTTTTAATTGTTGATTGAACTAATTTTATTGTTAATTGTGAATTTACATAGTTTAATTGTTAATTGTTTTGGTTAGAAATTTTAATTGTTATTAATTTATGTTGTTAATTTAATTATTATTTTTATTAGTGTTATTGGTAATTGCTAATTTAGTTTTATTGTGATTAAGTGATTAAAAAATTAATAAGTGATTAAGTTTTTTTAGTTGTTAAGTAAGTTAAGGTGTTAGGTATTGGCAAAATTAATCAATAAATTAAATATTAATTAAATTGTAATAGATTGTTATTTAGTAAATTCTAAATTTATTAGTAATTAAGCTTATTTAGTTGTTCATTAAGTTAAATAGTTAAGTAATTACAATATTAATTATTTTCGAAAAAAATTAACTTTTTTTTGAAATTATATTAAGTACATAAAAAATTAAGTTATTAGAAATATTTTAAATGTTTACTCATTAAAAAATAACTAGCATCTAAAAAATTAAAATCAAAATTTAGATTTATTAATAAAAGTTTTTTAAGTTATTACACAATTAATTAGTAATTTAAATTTTTTTTTAAAACAAAATGAATTCGGATCGTTCTTGGATTCACTTTAGATTAACCGATGGACTATTAAATGAGTGTTTCGTAGAAGTGATTAATGAATTTATTAATTTTGCGGTTAGTCATCCGGAGTGCATGGATAGAAATAAGATACGATATCCATGTAAACAAAAAAAATATCAAAATCGTAGGTACGAAAACCTTGATACCGTGAAGTATCATTTACCGAGATATGGGTTTGTGTTTGGGTATTATGTGTAGAGACGTCATGGAGAGAATGATTTATTCATTAATGACAATTTGTTTAATTATGTTAAACAAGAACAAATATTTGATGATGGTCAAGTCAATCGATACAACACAATGGTGATAGATGCGAGTGGTCCATTATTTAATCCATCTAATACGGACAAAGACCCAAACCTTGCTGCATAAGCGTTTTACGATTTATTAAATGCATTGAATAGAGAAATATGGCCTAGGTTAGAAAACCATTCACGGTTATTAGCAATGTCTCATTTGTTGCATCTCGGGTCCGAGCATCATTTCTCGGAGAAGTGTTACGACAACTTATGTCAACTTATGAAAGAGTTGATGCCTCTCGATAATTGCATGCCGGAAGAATTTTATAGTACAAAAAAATGATGGAAATGATGGGTTTATTCGTCGAAAAGATCCACGAGTTGCATTAATTTTTGGATGATTTATTAGGGTGAAGACAGCGAGAGAATCACTTGTAAAATATGTGATCATCCTTGATATCAAAATCCTAGGCGGAGGTCGATTAGAGAAACATATGTCCCCTACAAAACGATGTATTATTGTCCGATAACCCCACGATTACAAAGGATGTATGCATCGAATGCAACTGCTAATGACGTGATGTGGCATGCGTAACATGTCCGTGAGCCAAACATCATACATTATTGTTCGGACTCCTTCGTATGGTGGCATTTTAACCAAACACATCCGTCTTTTGCATCGAAATTAGGAATGTTAGATTAGGTGTTTGCATTGATAGGTTTCAGCCTTTTGGTAAATCCGAACAACAATATTCTTCGTGGCCTCGTGATTATAAAGCCTTACAATTTGCCACCATGGAAATGTATGAAAGAACAATATATGTTCTTAACTATAATTGTCCCGAGTCCTAAAAACCCTAAAGTTAATTTAGATGTATAATTAAAACCTTTAATTAAAGAGTTGGTTGAATTATAGGAAGTAGGTGTTCTTACTTATGATGTGTCTTGTAAAGATAATTTTCAAATGAGAGCTGCTGTCATGTGGACAATAAGTGACTTTTCCGCATATTCAATGTTATCGGGTTGGAGTACTATGGGTAAGACAACATGCCCATATTGTATGAAAAATTTCAATGTTTTTAGCCTGCGAAACGACGGAAAAACTTCATGGTTTGATTGTTATCGAAAGTTTATCCCATTAAGCCATCCGTTCAAGCGAAATAGGAATGTGTTCAAACAAAATTTAGTTGTTATAGACATTGCTCCTCCGATCAAGTCCGAAATTGAAATTTTGCAAGAATTAAACTATTGAGGGTTGTTCAAAGTAACGAAAGAGGGATCCAATGAGTATAACAATAATGTATCTAAATATTATATTGAAAAAAACGTCGTATATTCCGGGATCTACTTTATTGAAGTTCTAATCTAATTCGGTATAATTTGGATGTGATGCACATTGAAAAAAATTTCTTCGATAATATGTTTTATACAATTATGAATGTGTCGGGAAAAACAAAAGACAATGTAAATTCTAGAGAAGACTTAAAGCTATATTGTCGATGGCCCGAATTAGAAATATATGAAAACTCTAGAAAATACCTAAAAGTTTGTTACACTCGGACAAATAACAAAAAATACAATTACTAGAATGGATTAAAAAAATCAAGTTTCCGGACGGATATGTCTCTAACTTGGCAAGGTGTGTCGATATGAATAATCTCATATTATATAGCATGAAAAGTCATGACTATCATGTATTTATGCAAAGACTAATACCTATCACATTTCGTGACATGTTACCAATAAATGTATGGCAATCACTAACCGAGTTTAGCTTATTCTTTAAGGAATTGACATCTATTGTGATTAAAGTTAAAGATATGACCCACTTGAGAAAGATATACCAATAATCATGTGTAAACTAGAGCGTATTTTCCCACCTAGTTTTTTCAACTCCATTGAGCATCTTCTCATACACTTGGCGTATGAAGCAAAAATAGTAAGACTCGTATAATATCGATGGATGTACCCATTTGAAAGGTAAATTATTTTTAATTTTTTGACATCCGTTGTTAAGTAACTCTTCAAAATTTTTGTTAAGTATAATGCATTCACAATATTATTTTAGGTACCTTCAAAAATTAAAAAAACAATGTTAAGAACAAAGCTAGAGTCGAAGGGTCAATATGCAACGCATATTTAGTTGAGGAAGCTTCAATGTTCTATTCATATTACTTCGAGCCTCATGTACATACTAGGCATCAAAAAGTGCCTAGAAACTTTGAGTTTCATCGAGAACCAAGTGACGATATTGAAGGGATGCTTGCAATATTCAAACCTAAAGGTAGACTACTTGGTCGAGCAAGATCACATGTTCCGACGGATCAAAAAAGAATGCATCGCATACCTATATTTTGTTGAACTGTGATAAGGTGACACCTTACACGGAGTAAGTGCTATAACTATCAAATATTATTATACATTTATTCATTAAGTATCATTCATTTTTAAAACATATAATAAGAATATTTTTCATTCTTAGATATTTTATTACCTAATCGTATGAAAGTGATACCGATATTTCAAAAAACGAGGTTGATGTTCGGCTTGAAACTGAATTTGCATCATGGTTCCATCAATATGTGAGTATTAGAAAGTAAAGATTGTTATTAATTTTTCATAAAATGATTTTATCAAATTTTATACTAATATTAACTTATAATTGACCCGATCTTTACGAGCAAGTTAAGCATAACCTAATACTCGTAACATATCATTACATTAAAGATCCGACAAAATGACCATTGCGAATAGCTAAGTTGCATATGGGATACATTGTGAACGGATATAAGTTTCACACCGATGTTCGTGGTTCGAAGAGAGTATCAATGTGTAGTGGAGTGTGTGTAAGAGGAGTTAGCTACGGTGCGGTGGAAAATGGCTACTACGGTAGGTTGATTGACATATTCAAACTCGAGTATCCTATCTTACCAATAAAGAAAACTGTTTTGTTCAAATGTGATTGGTATGATACTACACACGGCATTGGTACAAGAGTTCATGATCATTATGGACTAGTCGTAGGTCTTCAAATAGATCCGATCCCTTCGTACTAGCATCACAAGCGCATCGGGTGTATTATGTAACATATCCTACATGTAAACGCATAAGACGCGATTGGTTAGCGATATGTAAGGTCAAACCAAGGCCGACGGTGGATGTGCTAGAATCGTCACGTTATCGTTGACCAAACAAATATCGAACCCTTTCAAGAAAACAAAATGGAAGGCTAACACAATGTCATCCATGTTGATGATGATCAAGGTGATCGATCATTGATTGATCCTACTTGGAGTGTTATTAGATTTGAAAGGGGGTCAAATTAATCTTTAGAATGAAGATGAGTTTGAAACCGATGTTGAGGAAGACTTAGATGAAGAATGTAACAATGATGATCATGATACCGATTAGCGATAATATGGTATATCCTATTAGATTATGTTATATTGTATTTTATATTCAATTGACAAATTATGCACATGGATTTTATGTAATTGCAATACGAAATTAAGGGTTTAGGCAACCTTGTCCTCCTAGGTTTTGGGTTAGGCTGGTTTTGTCCTCCCATTGTAATTTTTTACATTATTTCAATATATCTCCAAGGTACCATCCCTGTTTTGTCAAAAAAAAAATTTAGGTTTATGGTTTTGTTGGCCTATATAGTTAACTTGTACTTTTTAAAGGTAAGATTTAAATATATGTTTGTATGTTATATGTTAATATGTGTTATATAATTAATATTTTATTTCAATACTAATGAATGTAATAATGTGTAGGTCATAATGGCTTGAGGTAGGGGTCGTGGTTCGGATATCGAGTCAAATAATGATCGTGGACGTGGACACCATTCTCATTCCGTTCATGGTCGGATGGGTCCCTCCACGGACATGCCTCCGTACCACTCTTTTGGTGTCCCGCCAACATACCGTTCGATGCCCGACATGTCTCGGCCTCGGCCATTTCCTTATTATGGACCTCCACGTCATCCTTCATCCTTTCCTTCGTCGTCGTCGGTGCCTTTGTCATCACATCAAGACAACTCGTTCCGTTTATGAACACGTTTCATCACATAACGTCCTGCGTCAATTGGCTTCAAAACCTATCACATCTACGGTTGACCCGCGAGTTAGGGTCATTGTCATTGGTCACAATGAGTATGGTTTATGATTAATTTTATGACACATTTTTTTATTACCATTATTATATACTCATTTATTTATTAATTTAATTATTATCTATTTTTTGTAAGTTGTATCCTCTCGAGGTTTACTCTCGCACGATCGTTAAGACATTCCAGGAGTATGTTCATATTTTTGGATGGATGTGAAAGAAAATGAGTCTAGAGACCAAAAACTTTTACCGAGAAGAGTTTAAGGTACTAATTTTTTAAATTAATTGATTACATTATTTAATATTTAATTAAATAACACAAAAAAAATATGCAAATAAATTTAGTAATGATTATTATTATTATTCTTATAGAAATCATTTAAGTGAGATGATGATTTGAACGAGAGCATAGTTAAGAAAGCACGGGAAAGTCTCGCATGAAAGCGATAATCCGACTTTCTTTGTCATCTAAGGAAAAACCGAAGCCGGCATTTATCTCACAAGAAATATGGGATGCATGGACTATGGAATAGGCAAAACCCTAGGCCGTTACCCGATTTGAAATGGCAAGCACGGAACCGTAGGAGCGAGACCGGTGGCGTCAGTAATCGGTCCTTCTAGACATACAGGGGGATCGATCGGTCATAAAGAGCACGCCATATGCATGATAAATAAATAAATAAATAAATAATATATAATTTTTAAATGATATCTAAAATAATTAATTAAATATTTGAGTATATTTAATACATTTACGTATATTTATGGTTTCGAGTGTGATGTGTTAGGTCATGAACCCGATCCTCATGAGGTTTTCTTAAGGACTCATCGGAGAAAGGTTGATGATTAGTTTATCTTCATCGATCAACTCGTCAAGGCTTATCGGTGTAAGTTTTTAGTTGACAACATTATTTCATATCTATTAATTTGTAATGTTATTTCACATAAATATTTAATATGATGTGTTTCACAATTATGCAGGAGACCGTACAAAGATTAATAAATGAGGAAGAGGTTGCTAGCCAACAATCGAGAGGGACCGAATCGAACGAAGCCAACATTAATAAGATTTTTAGGAGGGCCGTTTGTGGAGGAGATAGTAAAAGGAAGAGGATTTATAGACTCGAGTCACACGCATCTCACTATTACTCTATTGTCAATACGAGCCTCAAGCTCTGCTACTTCTTGATTCAATGCCGTTGACGAGGCACAACTTAAGGAAGTACAAGATCAAACATTTGTAAATACGACGGATATCCATAACCTACGCGGTACTATCAACACACTAGAGGACCGTGTCACATCGTTATTGGATACAACAAATGAGTTGAGGGAGTATAGTCGACAACAATATACGATAATGTCACGGATGCGAGCAAATGTTCATGCAGCATTTTCACCATGGTGGTAGTTCATCCGTTGTTCCCGAGATCGACAACAACTCCACCCGGCCTCCGGACGACTCAACCCAACCTCCGAGTGATCCCGGCCATTTCTCTTAGCTTTCACGTTTTCTTGTAATAACCGCAACCTTTGTACTCGTTTTCGGTAATTTAATAATTGAATAATATTTACGTTTTAATACAATTTATAAAATTACATTTGAAATTTTAAAATATTATGTTTAAGATATTTTAGTAGATTTTTTTATTTAAAATTTTTTAATTGTAGCTAATTTTATTTGGGCGAAAAAAATTATAATTAAAAAATTAGCGTCGATCTTAGCGATGGTCTAGATCATCGCTAATATAATCTAATTTGAAACTATCACCGGACCGTCATAACGTTCGTCGCTATTTAGCGACGGACTTACCGAGGGTTTACAAGACCATCGCAAATGTTCCAAAGATTAACAACCATATTTAACAATGGAATTTTATTTTATTTTTTTTATTATTATTTTTTTTTGCAACGGTCTTGTTCGTCGCTAAATTAGCAATAGTCCATAAACCATCACAAAAATTTAACAACGAGCATTTTAGCGACAGTCTTTTGATCGTCGCTAAATCATCTTTATGATGTTTTTTTTCACATTTAGACAATCGCTAATTAAATTTATTGTTGTAGTGGAGAGGCACACAGAAAACACAAGGCATCTTCGAAGCAAAAATACTACTTCATATAATAAAAATCAAGGTTGACAAGATAGGATGAGAGGTAATTAAGAGTTTACCTCCTCTTTTCAACCACCAGAAGATGGCTATGCCCAAAAGTAGAAGCGCCAAAATTGATACAACTGATGCAATAACTGGAAGAAGAGAACTTTGCTTCTTTTTCGTGCATGGATCCATTTGGCATAAATCAGGATTTCCATCCAAACTGACAGTAAGAGAGATAATTTCAGATGTAACGTTGCATTAATGATCATATATGAGCGATGATAACCAATCAAATGATCATAGTTAGCTTTTGAAAGCTTAAGAAGATCACTGGGAAATATTTGAAGGATCTTGTAGTCGTGTGATTCTTTAAACTCGGAGTGACATGGAGAAAGACTGGATACACACACATATATTTTGTTCTCTGGTTTCTCTTTGTTCCTTGACGTTTTCAATTTAAGAAAAAAAAATGTTTATACTTCATATGTAGAAAAGAAGTTAGACAAGAACCAAAGGTCTAGAACGATTGTTCAATTAACGTGCTGAGAAGCTGAAATGGACGAAGAAGATAATCAAACCTCAACTGCAACAGTCCATTGTTAGACTTCTCCTTGAGAGTCCGAGGAACTGAACCTGTGAGGCTGTTTCCGTTTAGATATCTGAACATAGGATAAACAAAGTCAACAAGGTACTCTGTGTAAGAATTTCTTGTGGTAAATTTCGAATCATGCTAGTAACTTACAGGACAGTAAGGTTTGGCAGCTGTACGAATTCTTCTGGTACTGTCCCTGTCAATCCATTGTCTGACAAATCTCTGAAAGAAAAGAAACAAAATTATGGACCAATCACCTTTCTAAAGAATATGCAATCCTTGGGAGAGAGGATGTGCCGGGAGCTTATAGATAAAACAAAATTTGGGACAAAATAAAGGCTGGTCCTCCACAGCTCTGAAGGATGGACACCCTTTTCTGCATCCTTGGTGAAGCCAGAATCCCAGTTGTAGGCTCCACAAAGGCACCTCTAAGGAGAGAGGATGTGTCGGGAGCTTAGAAGCTGCCTAAATCTTCATGGCCGCGATAGATTGTCCCAATGGGAAACAGTAAAATGATGAAGGCCTGAAGTTGTTTAAGCAATTCTGCTAAGCATTGACTGTGATTCTACTTTCCAATGCCAGAGAGTGAAGAACCTATGACATCTAGTGTGGACAGTATTGTTAAAGGCTGCTACAAATATCGACTCTCTATTAGGTAGGGTAGGGGTCATTTCTGTGGTTGCTCGCTCTGCCTAGATCCTCTCAAGTTTTTTGTTGCTGCCATTATTTTATGCCATCATATCATTTTGATTTTTGTAATCTTGCAAATGTGATTTCATATTAAAATCGGTTACAAATTGGTAATTAATACTTACAAGGATTGGATTGCTGTGAGGTTCAAGAGTGAAACAGCTATCTTCCCTGTTAAATGACTGGAACTTAGATTCCTGCTCACAGTAATTAATTGAATATTAGTGGGGAAATAAGAGGCTGCCATTTTTTATTTTTATTTTTACCTGCCAAGTTGGCCTGACAAATGTAATGAACCCATATCAAAGTGGGTGTACTTTATAGATAACTTCCAGAAAATATCCCAACAAAGTAATGGGTAAACATTTTGGATAAAACTCACAGAGAGATGATCCTTGGAGGATTATCACTGTTGCAGTTCAAACCAGTCCATGTAGTAATGGGTAAACATGGATCACCTTGCCAGTCAGCTCTATCTATTCCGTATGTTTTCTTGATGGCCATGATTGCATCAACTATAATCATTGAAGTAAAAAAGGTTGAGAAGTCCAAATTTATCAAATTTATATATATATATATATATATATATATAAATTATCTCAAACTTGCTTTTCTGTGACAATTTGCTGGGAATTGAACACAGATCGAGCGCACCTAACCACATATCCTGAACCCGTTTCCCTAAATAAATCTATTCATGTTTGTTTCATCAATTCTTTTGTGCTCCAAATCATGATGATATAGCATCGTATGAAAATTCACGGAGGATTAATGCTTTCTTCTCTTTGCCTCCAACTGGTGAGTGCTAGATAGCTTAATTTGAGGAAAACACTAATTACTTAGCATTATACCAAGCAATTTGCCATTACTAAGGTTACACTATAGGAATTAGAGGGATTCCCGAAAACAAAAAATCCTTCAATCCAATTTACTTCTCTACCAATTTGTCAATTACTACTGCCAGATGTAGCATGCTAATACCAGAAGCTATACTAATCAACAGAGAAAAGAAATGGAAAACATACCGTCTGCTTGGTTTGTAGGTGAAACTGGGAGTGACCATACCGCGAAAATCTCAAAGGCATTTAGGATAGGTGGAAGGTCAGATCGCGACGTTGCATCAATAGAAAAGTTAACATGATCTCCTTGAACCGACTTATTAGGGTGTATGGTCAACGGCTTCAAGTATTCAAGGGTGAAAGGCCCGTCTTTTATGCCATTCAAAGTAATGGTGAATTCTCGTACTTGGCCTTGTGCAATCTGCTCGATTTCAGCAAAGTGAAAGTAAAAAAGAAACTCAGGTGTGAAATTAACCTTATACGGATATGTATAGCTGTAGCTCAAAGAATTAGTGCCATTTCCAGGTCGGACTGCGGTTATCAACACTTCAGCTGGTAGACGGTACGGATCCTCACTGCCTTGGACGTCAATGCTTGTTGTGGTGCTGATTGGAACTGATTTGGAGAGGTTGAATTGCCACCAGATGCGATCATACACATCATCTTTGTACCTAATTGCATGTTAAGGAAAATAACACAAGGATTAATGGAGTGCGATTCTCAGATTACTTATAATATGGCTTATTCGCTCATAAATTTCCTATTTTTTGATGTTCGTTGGTTCCAAGTAAAATGTTTGACATTTTAGAGAGCCTATAATCAAGAGACAACGTAGAAGATTATATCAAGACAATCGCAAATTTCTTATTGTCAAAGCATTATTTCAGTTCAAAAACTTGACAGCTAAATTGTTAGATGAGATTTAAAATGATTTTATATTAATTTTCAATCACTTTAAAATCTCATTCACGTAATGTGAATATTTTCCCTCTTATTTTGTTATTTGTTTTGTTTTTGTTTTTTTTTTTAATAAACCGATATAAGTTCATTAAAGTGGGCAAAACCTACTATTACAGCAAATGCCACGCCAAAGTAAAGGTCAACAGCAAGGGAGTTGCTAATGGGCAAGCCACAGCTAAGAACGCAACGCAAACAACCTAAGCATAAACTGGAAAACTATAAGACGATTGAGAGGATTCTTTAACAATTGATGACAAGCCCTCCGTGGATCCAAAAACCAAGGCTTCTTCTAACAATAGTGTATAAGTTTGATTTCCCTAAAATTAATTAAGTCATTTTATTATGTAATAATTCATGCTTTTTTTTTTTTTTTTTACTTGCTTGTGTTCAAACTGTACACCAAAAAGATTGACCATAGTTTTCGTTGTAGTACAAGGTTTGGACGGTAAAAAATGGACATAGATATTGTGATAGGACTAGTGTTCTTATTTGGTCTTTAAGATGTATTAGAAAGATTGATTTGGTAAGCTCATAGCAAAGTCTATTAAAAAAATATCTAATTGTTATTTTATTTTTAAGGTATAACTAGCAAGTTGAAACAGTTTAGTCCAAATAATCTAGTTTCTTTGTCTAGCTCAAACCCAAACATCCAAATAGGGATGATGTGGTGCAATCCCGGTGACTTTGATCCCTCCCCAACGTGTTGTTTTACTTACATCTTATTAACATTGTTTGTTTTTCTTCACACACCTCTCACTACTTGCATACACTTTTCTAAATTAGTAGACTATTACTTCAACAAATCACAATACTAACTCCGTATGTTTCAACAACCAATCTTTCGATCAATTCTCAAAAATTCCTTCACATAAATAGCGACCACAACAACACCAAAACACTTAAGGGCAATCTTACAAGTATGAAACCCTTTTGCAAACGTTTTTTGAATTATTGATCTTTTGCACACAATTTTTGCTATTCGTAACTCTCTCAAAACTCACCCACTCACTCATCCTCACAACTCCCAAAGTTCAATTCATTTGGACTTGGACTTTGACCATTTACCCACTCGCCACTTGATATGCATCTTGCTAACTTTGCTTGCTCTTCTTCTCTTGTCTCTCACTACTTGCATATTTTATTCTTTTAAATTGATAATTCGTTGCTTCAACAAGTCACAATACTATCTCTTTATATCTAGATTGGTCTAATGATCAATCATTTGATCTATCCTAAAAACCTCCTCATAGATATAGCAACCATAAAAACACTAACAACAAACACTTAAATGTTATGCTAAAGTTATAGAACCTTTTTGCAAACTTTTGAACTATTGATCTTTTGCATAATTTTTTTTATTCAAAACTCCTTCTCTCAAAACTCTTCTACTCACTTATCCTCACAACTCTCAAAGCTTTATTCATTTAGACTGTGACCAATCACCCACTTGTCACTCGCTATGCTTCTTGCTAAAATTATTTGCTTTTCTTCTTATATCTCTCACTACTTGTATTCATTCTTTTGAATTGATGGATCGTTACTTCAACAAATCATAATAGTAGCTCTCCATATCTCGACAAGTTTGATGATCTATATTTTGGTCTATTCTCATAAACCTCCAACATATATAGCAACCACAATAACATCGGCACTAAACACTTAAATGTCATCTCAAAGATACAAAACCTTTTTGCAAACTTTTGAACTATTGATCTTTTCCATAACTTTTGCTATTAAAAACTCCCTCTCTCAAAGCTCTTATACTCACTCATTTTCACTTTGATTTTGATCATTCACTCACCTTTCATTTGATATTCATCTTGCTAGCATTACATGCTCTTCTTTCCACATCTTTCATTACTTGCATCTATTCTTTTAAATTAATAGACCATTATTTCAACAAGTCATAATACTAGCTTTTTATATTTTGATTGGTTTGATGACCAATCATTTGACCTATTATCAAAAATCTCCCCGTATATATAGCAACCACATTGACACCAATACCAAAAACTTAAATATCATATTAAAGATATAAAATTAACCTTATTGCAAACTTCTGAATTGCTGATCTTTTTTATAACTTTTTCTATTCAAAACTCCCTCTCTTAAAGCTCTCCCACTCACTCATCCTCACAACTCTCAAAAATCCATTCCTCTGGATTTTAACCACTCACCAACCTATTACTCGATATTCATCTTGCTATCATTGCATGTTCTTCTTTCTACGCCTTTCATTACCTACATCCAATTTTCAAAATTGGTGGACTCTCACTTCAACAAATCTTAATACTAGTTCTATATCCATTTTCAAACCCCACCCCACCTAAATACACACAACACAAGGCCACAACTTAATTAACATCTACTAAGGCTTCCTTTTACTTCTTAATCAACTACCTCTTCTACATCATTTCTAAAACATAACAATTGTATCCGTTAAATGAGCCAAAAACCCAAAAGCTTTAGCTAACTTAAAATACAAGCTCTCTTTTACCTCTAAGCCCTCAACTTGTGAAGGATATAACATCCTATATTCAGCAAAAACATTTTCCATTACCACAACACCATCAATAAAACCCATTCTAAATACTCTCCAACCCTAAATAGCCAATAAAAACACCATAAAATAAGAAGACCAATCTAATTTGACTCCATTTTCAATATCCTAGTAGCCATCTTTGAACCAAAAAGCCAAAACCCAACCCACCTCACATGTAAAACTATCCATCTAATCAATCAAAGAGATTTGATTAGCCTTCCCAACAATAGTATAGGAAGGAAAGGAAACGAGGGAAGTAAGAAAAAAGAGTTTCACGAAGAGGAAAGATTGAGGTTTGTGTGAGAGAAAGAAGGAAAAAAACAATAAAGAAAACATGAGGATTGCAGAGTAAGGGTTGCCGTGAAGTAGAAATGTCCGGCAACAATTCCATAAAGGTCTAGGTGAAGGGTGAATCACCGAGAAAGAGATGAAACCCAATAGAGAAAGGATGCATATATATATATATATATATATATATTCCTTAAGAAAAGGCCGTTTGACTTATTGAAGTAACTTTTGATTTTGAGTTATAATTTATAAGTTAAATAACCTAGAACAAAAATGAGTTAAGAATAAGTATAGTTGGTAAAAATAATTTAAAATAACTTTTTATAGATGGGAAGTAGTAAAAGTCATAATCAATATGTTAAAAGTTAAAGATTATAACTTTGATTAAAGCAAAATATTTACTCAATTTTATAACAATCTTATAATTTAAATCAAATTTACTTTCAACCAAGCTTAATTATACTTCTTTTTACTTTGAGTATGTTATTGGACATATCCTATATAAAATAAACAACAAAACATTAATATATAATTTAAAAATTGAGTCATCCACCACAATGCTTAAAAAGCTTAAGAGCTTGTTTGGCCCCTAATTTTTTATGTTGTGCTATATTGTGTTGTGTTATGCTCCATTGTGATTTAACTATTATGTGATGTGTTGTGAAACAAAGTAATTAAAGTGTTTGGTAATAAACAATAGTGTGTTGGCTCAAGTGTCATCAATTCTAATTTTGATGGACTAACAGACTAATTTAATGTAGTTAGGATTATTATATTGGAATTATTTAATATTGTATCTATAGCATGTGATTAAGCAAGGTGGAAGCAACATTGGACTATGCTTACTTATCATGGATATTTCAAGTATGGAGACACGGTATTTTATAAGCACAAAAGGAGCCTACATGATTCTAAAGTCAAGGAAGCATTATCTTTTATCACAGATTTTTTTTATCACAAATATCAAATAGAAGCATTAGTTATATTCTGTTAGATTAAGTTTGTCGGTTACTTTGCTTAGCTGGAATATGCTTTGCTGGCAATCCTTTAACTTAGTCGGCATCTTGTATAAATAGACTCTCTCTGTTCAATAAAAAACAAGAATAATTCATGCCATTTCGTGTTATCTTTGAAGATTATTGCCTGAAATGTAAAGATTGGAGCTTCAAGTGATCAATTTTTTTTTTCACTATATTGTAAAATGACTAAATAGGGTTGATGGCAATCTTGATGCTCTCAATTTAAATTAGACAAAATCTTAGAAGAATAAGCACATGTTAGACACATTCATGAAGGTCATATGTATGACCTAGTTGTTAGGAAAACCGGCCAAGTAAGCCCAGAATCGTCCAAGCTTAGTCTCATAACCGGCCAAGTAGATTTTAGGCAGAATCTTGCTCGTTTTGAAAAGATTTTGTGCAACAACTAGTTTCATACATAGAGTAATGACTAATTTATTGAATTCTCTATAAACACCCTTCAATCCTATGCTTTTTAGCCACAGACAAGAAACAAAAACAGTGAAAGAAACATTTTTATATTCATTACATTTTTCTTGAGAGCTTAACTGGTTGAAATCTTTCATATCATACAATTGTGTTTAACTTGATTAATTTCCTCTTAGAGTAAGCATAATTATTTGGGTAATTTATTTTTTTATTAAAATACACGTCCCTCCGTCCCAAAGATAATGTCTACTTTTCTATTTTGGTATGCCCTACAATTGTTATTTATTATCAAAAAGTCAAACTATTAATTATTCTCTACTTCTTTAATAGTATTAGATACTCCAAAATTTATTCAAACAAAATAAATAAATAAATAAATAAAAAGTACATTTATACTTTGTCAAATTTATTTTTAATGAACAAGAAAGAAAATAAAGTACCTTATTTACATCAAATTTATCTTCTTCTTCATATATATATATATATATATATATATATATATATATATATAAAGTCACGTTAAATGTAATATCACATGCTTTTTGAAATATAACCTATTATGCCTTATAAGTGAAATCACCTTGTACATTTTAAAATGAAGTAATAGTGTTAAAGTTGTTTTCCAAACACTTATTAGAAACTTTTAACTACTTTTCTTTAAAATAAGGCAGAAAAAGCTAAAAAGTAGGGTTAAAAAACTGGTGATCAAAGTTACTTTGCATAATTCATAGAAAATGAAAATATATAGGGCCAATTTATTACCTTATTATGCGTTGGGTTGGATCACCGCCGAGGTTGGCTTGCACTACAGGACCCAAAGATATTCCAGTCTCAATTCTATATGAGGAATCGTTTAAATACCTTAAATCCAATCCTGAGATGAAGGGAACTCCGAAACCAGTGTTTATGAGACACACATGAATGGTATCGGTTAAAGAATATTGAATAATACTGTAATATTCCCACGGCCGATCTTTCACAACCACTGATGCCCAATAGTTAACCCCGAGGTATAGATCAAACCCTTGAGACTGATTCTTAAAATCGTAATTTCCATAGTAGAAGAAAATTCTGATGTTATAGTTATGGTTTTTGCCTTGATTAGGTTTCAAGGTATAACAATTCCTCTTTCCTTCTGGAAACATTCTCAAGCTATTCAACTGCCTCCCAAAATAAGGATGGGTCGAGGTGTACTCTGACGCTACAACCTTATTTGTGCCTGTGCTAATGAAATCTTTGTCAGACTTGTAAAATATTCCTGTCACCCCATCAAAATAATCATCATCCACCCCACAATCAATGCTGATGAAACCTTCAAATTTGTCAAGGAAATAAGTCAAACAATTATATATATATATATATATATATATATATATATATATATATATATATATATATATATATATAATACCCACTATATATATATATAGACACACACACTTTTCCCAAAAGATTCTATATTGCTAATGGATTTATATTTGATCATTGCTGAATTGTAAAGTGTAAGGTGGTTAAAATTTTTCTTAGTTTTAGTATCTCTTTTCTTATTATTATTATTTGTGCTTACAAATAAAACCTATTCTCCTACAAATATAGTTTTTTTTTTTTTTGTCATGCCAGTATTCCTTTTTTTTTTTTTTTTTGGTCTTAAATTCATCCCTCTACATTTGATTTATATTACAAATTTGTCCATTCGATAACTTTTTGAACTAACGGTGTTGAATCATATCATTAACTTCACATGATTGTGACAACTATCAATCTTTTTTTCCATCTTAATCTTGTCCTTTTACTCTCTCTTTTTTTTAATAAAAATAAAAAAGTTTAAAAAATGAAGATATATTAAAATTTTAAGAGAGTTTTAGTTAAAATTTAAAATTTTGGAATGATATTTATAATTTTACAACATCTTGAAAGAGTCTATCATAATGTACTTATTTTCATTTTACACATTTCTTAATTCGACTTAAAAATAGGAATATAAAATTATAAATATCATTTAAAAGTTTAACTTAAACTCTCTTGGCATTTAAAAAAAAATACTATGCATTTTCTATTTTATACTTAAAATTTAATTATTATCATAAAGATAAATTTAAATCCATAAAAAAATTTTGAATAAAAATAAAAATATATTTATCTTCATCTTCTTCTTTTTTCTATTTTTTTTCACTAAAAAAAGAATGGAGGGACTAGATTAAGAAAAAAATAATAAAAAATAAATAAATAAAAAATTGGCATGTATTGCAATCATGTGGAGTTAAAGATAGAATTTAACACTATTAGCCTAAAAAATTAACAAATGAACGAATTTAAAACAAAAACCAAATATAGAACAAAAACGAGGGACAAATTTAATACCAAAAAAAATAAAAATAAAAAAGAAATAAAGGAATAAAATTAAGATAAAAAAAATAGAAAGATTTTTACAACCATTAACCCATTTAATTTTAAATGGGTATCAAACTGTTGATTTTGTTTCCGACGTGAATTTAAAAAAGCAAGTTGTTAAAGAAAAAACGAATAAAATTTCAATAATAAACGTATTGCAACTTGCAAGTATGACACAAACAATTGAAATAAGAGTAAACAACAAATAATCTTAAGTTTTCTATCTCGAAACAAAATAGTATAGCAGATTTCTGATCCAGCATTCTTGATTTGACCTATAGCTAGACTTGAAATACCTGGGTTTTCGGTGGCAAGCTTTCTTCTTTGAACATGCTCAATATTTTTGGCAGCTACTTTTGAGTTCCGAAACGCAGTAGGGAGCAAAAGGAGTCCCACCCATATTTTCGAATACAAAAGCAGTATTTTCCCATCATCCATCTTAGCTATTCTTGTTCAGACAATTTTAGTTTGGATAGTGAGAAAGTTTTGAAAGAGAAGTTGTCATGAGCTAATAATGTAATTTGAAATGTCAAGCAAAGTTGGAAGGAGAGAATATATAGCTCAAGTTTAAATAATATAAATGTTGATTAAATCACATGATTATTAAGGTGCAACTTATTCAAAAAAGTTAACGAGAGTGAAAAGAGTTTTATTTATTTAAATAACTGATTTCAAATTTAAGTTTTTATATATATTAAAAAAATTTTGAATAATTACTTTTCGTCTTATATAAGAAGTTTATCTAAATTTTTAAATTTAAGATATATTAAGAGATAAAAAAATAAAAATAAATAAGACGCAACTTGCACGGCAAACTTTACCTGAGTAACGAAAAGCCAGCCCCATCTTTTCATGGACCGCCGTGTAGCAAGTACCGACGACGACTAAAAAGTCATACGGGCTCCTTCTCTTTGAAATAAGACCAAGATTCATTGCTTGACTTGAAAATAATTTACGAGTCACCTATTCCACAATTTATCAATAACGAAAGGACGTCATGAAATGGTCCCAGAAAGATTTTATTGTAATGACCAAAAAATAAAAACACATAGAAAATTTAATGTGGTCCATCAAATCGATAAAATCTTTCTCAAGCTTTAATCAACTCATTTAAAATTGAGTTATTGAACTTTAAATTCGGTGTTGGGATCTTTGAATTTTTAAATTTTTGAGATTTAATTCATTCTTTTGTTTTCTATTATTTATTTTAAAAAATAAAAATTATTTAAATAGCTCCATCAAATAAATCATTTAGTGATTAATATAAAACTCTTCAAAAAATTTGAGATCATTTCTGAGTTATTTTTTTAATTTTTTTATATTTTTAAAGTTTATATATATATATATATATACTTTTTAATTTTTAAAAATTCTGGTATTTTTTTATAAAATAGATTGCATATTTTTTAATACGTGTGCAAAATTTCAGTTTAAAATATAAAGAATTGTTTTTTTTTAATAAAAAAAAGATATAACTGAAAATTATTAGATGGACTAAATCTTTAAAAATTAAAAATTTTATAATTAAATAAACTCATTTTTAAATAAGTTAAAGTTGAAAAGAAATTTTGATCCATTTAACCTAGTTTTGCCGTGTCAAGCCAAAATTACAATTTTTGCGACATGAAAATCCAGAGCTGCTAGAACTACGAAATTCTAGTTTGCGACTAAAAAGATTGGCCGTATGTGCATGATTGAAGTGGTGGGCCAAATGTAGTTGGGTCACTCACAGCTTGCCTACAGCTTGCGTTGGCATTTACCTCTAACAAAGACAGATTTTTACTCAACACAACATAAAACTGCGTTTGGGTTTACTTTGAATGTTGACGCGCGCGATGACTGGAGACGGAGGAGAAATTTAGCACTCATCCATTCTCATCTTTGTTCTCGTGTCTTGTTGAATTTACCGGCATTGATGTGATTGTGTTAATATTAAGTATCTATTTAGTAGTAATATTAAGATGATATTGTACAGATGCCAATTTTTCATATATATTGATTTGATAATAAAGCTATTTTTATATATTGATATGATAATAAAAATATTTTTATATTAGTTTACACATAATTTAATGTTTAAAAAAATTAGATGATTTTAAAGACGTATTTTTGTATATCGGTTCGATACATTTAAAAGAATTTTTAATAAAATTTTTTGAATGTTTTCTTCAAAATTTGAATTCAAAAAATTAAGTTATATAGTCTTTATTGTTAAAAACAGAGCAGCATAGATTGATTGTATGCATTGTTTTCTTCTGCACTCGTGTATTTGCAAAATCAACCCTTTTGATGGGTCGAGAGACCCTCAAGTTAATAATTAGAGAGAAAGAAAGAGAATGGTCCGATAAGGCTTTACGGAATGTGTTTATGAATGTGTTTTAGAGAAGACAAACAACAAAATATTTCGAAGCATAGAGAGTTTTCTATTTAAAATTAGAAACTTGAAATCCTTGGTAGTTACGACTCTTATATAGGCCGTATTTTGGAGAGTTGCATGATGGAAGGGACGATATCATCCATTCCATTAATATTAATAGCTTTATACGACGATCTTGGATGATTTATGCATATGATGTGACTCATTCCATGACGACACCTCTATGGTCATGATGAGTGTCGATTAGATAGGGAAGCACCGTACCGATTAGAGTTACATTGTTTCCCTCGAGGTAATTATTGCTTTGAAGGATCCTCTATGTGGCATGCATGCCTAACCAAGCATGTGTCCTTCGAGCTTTGATAAAAGAGTGACACATGTCATTTGAACCCATCATTAGCCTTCATCCTCTCAAGTCTTGGCAAGTATGCTTGGCTTAGACTAAAGAAATTTGTCTATATCTTTAGAGGGTCGCCCTTCTTGTTTGAGGAGATCATCAAAGCTCTTGTTGTTTGCCTCGGTCTATTTGAGTTAATCGATGATGTGCGTTTCAATGCTTGGTGCTTCAAAACTTACGTCATTAAAAAAAAAAAAAAAAGAAAGCAAACGTTTGCTCGTGAGGCGTCTCTATTAATATGAAGATTTACGTCTCTTATATTTCTTAAAAGAGTAATTATTGTAATCATTGATGATATATGCACTTGACCTATCGTATCCGGTTAAGCCATGTCATCATAGGATCATAATTTAGGTCTCATGTGTCTTAATTATGAAGAAACGTGCCCTTACGCCTATATATGCTTTGCTTGGGGATTTCTCACTTTTATTTTTATTGATTCGAGTTCCGTTGAAGATTCCTAGCAATTTTTTAACATCCTTCGAAGTCTTCGAAGGTCTTTCCCTAATATTCCCTTCATCTTTGCTTTCTTTAATCCAAATTGGAGATTTCACACTTGTGTTGAGGGCTATATCATGGAGAATTCTCCCTCCAAATTGAAATCTCGGCAGGTAACCTACTTTTTCACTCTTGTTATTCTCTTTTTTCATAACCATGAGTGTTGAACGGAGTAAGGATTCGTTTGTTTGGCAAAAAATAATTTTCAATAGAAAAATCAATTATAGCGAAGCTATTTTCTTAGAAGTTGTTTTTCGGAAAAATATTTTCTTGTATTTGGTAATTATATGAAAAAGTTGTTGGAAAACATTTTTTAGTGTTTGTTTGATACAAAAAATTGAAATACAAAAATAGACTCGTGATTGTTATATCAACGAGTTTTGAAGGAATTTTAACAAGACATATTGACAATCTTACAATATAAAAATTGTTAAAAGATCTCTCTCTCTCTCTCTCTCTCACACACACACACACACATACACACACACAACAAACAAGTTATGTGATGACAAGATCAAGGTAACTATTACTACAATTTCATGATTACAAACCTACCATGTACGTTTTCAAGTTTTAGTTTTAAAATAAGAAAAGAAATAAAGTTAATCTTGTTGAACTTTTTTATATTAAAATTCATAAACTTAAACTAATAAATAATAATGTGATATTTTGTAATCAAAATAACACTACTTATAATTGTTTTATAAAAAAAATTGATAAGACGAATTTTAATATAATTATAAAGGATAAAAATTTGATTTGGAATTTTTTAATATGACAACCGAAACATAAAAAATATAATATAATTATTTATTAAAAAAAGGTTATATAATAAAATTATAATGAAAAACTTGGTTGGATAAATAAAATAAAAAGCTTTTTCCATTCTATCAATTTGACCCATAATTATACCACTCACAATTCAAAAGTCAAATCTCATCCATGCACCACAACAACTTGTATACCGGAAAACATTCATAATTAAAATATCTCACATTTATAATAATAGCTACAAAGATAGCTGAAAAAATCCAAAATCCAAAAAACATAAAAATTATGTACAAAATTTAACTCTTGGAAATTCAAATATATAATAGGAAAGCCACACATAACATCATGTAGATGATCCACCATGTTCATTGATGAACTTTTCAATCTAAAGTTTTCTATATTTTTCATTTCTTGCCATAAAAGCCTTTGCCAACCTTTAATTTTGTATCAAATAATCAAACACATTGTTTAATATGTCATCATGAAAATCGGTAATCTTCATCAGCACATCATAAAGCTCATCTATATCAACTTCATTTTTTGTTAAAGCATGAATTGCTTAGGCTACTTCTCTCACTTCCACACCAAAAATAGATGTAATTGATTCTTCGGTTTCACGACCTCTTTTTCAGTGGCTTCTCTTTCCGGAAAGCATACTAGTTGACAATTCTTCTTTTCCTTTGCCTATGTCAACTTCATATGGTGTTGCAGATTCCATTTCAAAGCTCTCATCCAAGTTGATATCATCAAAGGACTTGGCAAAGCTTCCCGTGGCCATATCTTGTCTAGCAATAAGTGTCATCTCATTGTGCTTCTCATTTTTCTTGTTCAAGTATTTCTCATGGTTAGGATGTGCTCGTATGTTAAAATGAATTAGAAAACATCTTATAAATATAGAAAAATAGGATGAGATATTGAAAAAAGTTTTTATATTACCGTTATCTCTTCATCATAAACTTGTTTTAAGGCGAGTTATCATTTCTAACTCATCATTCCATTCAAAACCACTTTTCTCTTGTAGTTATGTGATAATCATCCATTCTTTTTTTATTGTCTTCAAATGATTTTTTACATGATTAGAAGAACAATCTAATCCAAATTTCAAGTTGATTTCTCTTGCTATACATGCAAATTTGTCTTGTTTGAAAGTGGAAGACGGCTTATTCCCTTTCATAGCCTCCTCAACGAAAATCTCAAACAACATATGAGACATAGGTTTGTCCACCTAAATTGTTTGGCTTTAGCTTTTTCTTGCTTTGTGTTACTCATTTACGTAAGTATTGCTAATAAACAGAATTTCAAAAAATAAAAACAAGTGAAATAGTCAAATAACATCATTATTCATTCAATAAACTCCAAATGACAAAAAAGAAAAAAAATAGAAAAAAAAATAGAAATTGCTAAAATTACATGCAATATGTATAGAACGGGATGATAACTCAAAATATTTAGGAACTAGAATTTAAAAACTAGACTCGTTAGGGTGGCATCAATCTTTATTTGAGAACTTGGCTAATTAAGGCATAGAGGATGATAAGCTTTAGTCAACGACAAAGTAATCACAACAAAAGCAAAACTCAAAATAGGTTTCATCATGTATATTAATTTTCACTTGTATTGAATAAATAAAGAAATAATGCATGTCTGTGCAACAAATTTTTGAACATGCTCAATATTTTTGGCAGCTACTTTTGAGTTCAGAAACGCAAGAGGGAGCAAAAGGAGTGCCACCCATATTCTCGAATACACAAGCAGCATTTTCCCATCATCCATATTAGCTAGTCTTGTCAGAAAATTTTAGTG